TGCCCAGGACTCTGGAAATCCTCTAAGAACACATATGTGTTTCAGTCATAATTCTATGTTTCTCACAGGTGAACCCTGGGGCTTGAACCCAGCAATGATTTCCATTTTGTTAGTCACCATCTCTGGTCCCCCATCCTGACTTAGTCCTTGATCATGTCCACATATCTCCACACCACGAATTTCTGTCAATTTATCCTCAAAACTAAAGCTGCTGAAACCTAAAGCTAACTAGTGATAATGTTGGTTAGTCTTGATTACCCGTTAATTACCTTATAACTGTAAAGTATTTCTTGACATATCAAATAAAGTAGCCACAGACTCCAAATCAAAGACCTGGAAATATGGGCTAATAATAGAATAGTGTATTTTAAATTTTGAGTTTTCTCCAGAAAAGTCAAAGCCTGACCTATATAGAGTTGAACTCAGGGTCTGGGAATTGGTAATCTAATCATCCATGGCCTCTACCCTCAAAGAACCTACAGTCTTCAACAATTTGTCAGTTGTGCTGATATAAGGCGTTTTCATAGCTAGCCAATAGGAGGAAGCCTAAAATGAAAAGTGCAAACAAATTGCAGACTTCTTCTTAACAGTTTGCTCTATTAGGAATGAGCCACTGGAGATGGATCCATGGTAGGTGGGAAGTACCAATGTGCCTTGGCTTTTATGTCTCTCACCCTCCTGGCTTGGCTTTAGCTGTTCAGCAATGTCGAGCTCACCCACAATGCTTGGCTTTGGTTGCTTATTAATGCCAAGCATCATACCGGCCTCGTGTGATATCATTAGCACAAAGCAGCCCCTAGCCCAGACTGTCCTGTGCACTATCCCCATTGTTCCTTCCCAAGATTTTTAGACTCTGCTTCTCCCACACCTCTCGTTGAACTCAAATACTTAACCTTCTTAGGATTTCCCATTTGTCTAACACGCTACTCTCTGTTCTCATGTTTAAATCCAGAAAGGAAATTAAGTTGTGACTTGCAGTGTATCTTCTGGATTATATGATTAGCTGCTGAATCATATAATCTTTTCCTTCCTCAGCAACTTCTCGGGTCTTCACAAGTTCCCGTCTGATGAATTCCAGTTCTCTAAACAGCCCTCACCTCCAGGCTGACTTCCTGACAGCCTCCAGAATACTCTTCCAGCACACCAGTTCAAGCAAGATTCTGGGTCCGTGATTCATAATCTGACCTGGTTTATTTCACTAATTCAGTCCTCCTGCTTGTTCCTGTGGACTTATGTGCATGCCTTCTGAATCCCTTCATACCCCATTCTCCTCAGACTGAATCTTCTTCCTGGCTAAGAATGTTTCTCCAGCACACACCTTTCCCTTGACCAGTTAGCTTGAAATTGGTGTAGAAAATGCATATATTGGTAGCATTTTCTCTCTCTCTTTTATTCCATTCTACTAGGTTTGTCTTAATATCCAAAAATTAATTATAATTCCTAGGAATGTCAGCATACCTTACAACCCTTGCCAGAATGCTCAAATCATGAGTCATTTCTATAAGACGCTAAATTAAATTTAGCCCCAAGAATAGATAACAATATACAAGTTCAATGTATTCTTATTATAAACATACATAAATACCACTTATTCTTCAATTTAATTGTGTTTTGTGAATATTATTTATAATTATGTAATTTAAAGACCTACATTTTTGCTTAATGTTATTATTTTTGAGTAGTTGTGTCTGTTATTCATAATTATAATTACTTTCTTTTTAACATTATTATCTGTGTATATCTCTGTATACGATATGCCTGCAGTGCCCTCAAAGATCAGGAATATGGGTCAGACCCCCTGAATTGGACTTATAAACAGTTGTGAACACCCTGTAGGTGCTGAGAACCGAATCCAGGTCCCCCCACAAGCAGTAAACAGGTTTAATTTCTAAGCCACTTCTCTGATCCTACAGACACTCTTTCCTAAACACAAAATTATGACTAAGAATTATAAGAAAATGGACAAAAGTACCGCTGGTTACCTTTTAGTGTTATTAGCAACACTTCAACAACTCTATATCTATTTTGTATTATATGTTTTTATATTTCCTTAATCAGTTGAACATAGAAAAACAAGTTTTACATAGACACAAAGTTTCCCCCCAAAAAAATGTATGAAGTTTGTTGGTTTTCCTTTAAGAACTGTGGCAATGAACGGTTAGAAAGCTTGAATGTTTTAGATGTTAGACGTAGAAATTCAAACTATTATAGGTGGATTGGGGAGAAAGAATTCATTAAATGTAGCCTTTAGGAGTCCTCAGTGTGCTTTCGCCCTTTAGGACACAAACAAGTTACAGCAGATTTGTGGATATGCATTGTACACATTGTGTTAAACTCAGTCTTTGTATTTCCTCAGAAAGAGATACACAAGCATTGGTTTCACTCGCCTAGAATCTTCCTTGCCTGAAACGGAAAGAGCCGAACATGGTCCTGAATATGGTCACGTCCATGACCTTGAAACTCAGCCAGGAAGGGAATCAGGAAGGCTTTGGGTCAAGGAAGTTAGATGATCAAGACAAGTTTTGAGATGTATTTAACTACATACTCAAGGGAGGGTTGAATGATTGATCCTGATGAGAAAATAATTGAGTAAAACCGAATTTTAAACACGCACTTAGTTTAGCTTAAGGACATAGTTCCCAGAATGACTTTTTGCATCCCTATCCTTCTGCATGATTAGTATTGCTTGGTTCTTAGTAAACTAACACAAAAGAAACAAGATAGCCTTTTACTGGGCCCTGCCTCTCGATGATTGTATGCATTTCCAACTGCCATAACAAATTACCATGGATATAGTGGCTTCAAATGACACAAAAATAGTACTTCACAATTGCTGTAGGATAGGAATCTGGCAAGGCACAGCTGAATTCCTGGGTTCTCACATGGTTAAAATCAAGGTATTGACTGAGGTTACATGTCTTCTAGGGATTCGGGTTGCTCTTCTAAGTTCACTGACGGGAAGATTTTACTTCATTATTAAATGTGTCCTGTGTGGCCTCTACATGTTCAACATCCTGGCAGCTCAAGTCCATGTGACATTTTGAGTCACCTTTCTGCCATGCTTTTAAGTTTTCTTTCAGCAAAGAAAAACTCATTGGTTCCCAAACAACACAAGCAATGCTGCTAGCGAAATCTTAATTTAGTTCCAAACAAAATTCTAGGTACAAACCTAAGGAAGCCTATAAGTTTTCTTGTCTACTATTGTAATATTCTGAATATGTGCTCTCTGACCTTTAGCCGAGCATGCTCAGAAGTGGAACCTATTGACCATCTCTTCTTATTTACTATAGTTGGGAACTGACTGTACTCAGGAATGTGTTAAACAGTGTGCTGAGCTTGTATTGGTTCCTATAGTTTTTCCTATATGAATATTTATGCATGATTAAAATTAGATAGATTTGTTCCAAGATGGCATTGCTTTGAAGGTAATCTCCTTGTCTGCTGCAGGTCATAAACCACTCTCTCCACTTTTTAATGTCTTCATTATGTTCTTATTTTCTTTTGCACTCAAGATACGAAAACATTACATTCAAATCAGTTGCATCCTGCTGTTAATGTCTCATGATTGTACTGACCTTACTTAAACATTTCAAGATACTGACTGTGGCAAGGTCTACCCCTTAGAATCCCTGATTCCAATGCAAAGTCCTTTCTGTCATGCGAAGCAACGTATTCACAAAGGTGACACCAGGGAGCGAAGACATTAGAAGCGAGGTGCTGTCTAGCATGATAAAACTGTCCTGACTATTTAACCACAGAGAACAGGAACACATATAAATTATGGAAATTACTCTCCTTCCCCAAAGACATCAAGTTTAAAATAATTTTAATTCATTAAGAGTTATTGCAGACATTCAAAAAGGCATGAATTAGCACAGACCTTCACATGTTCAATGTTGTGGCAAAGTCATAAAATTAAAATAGAAGTTAGGAGATTGAAGACACTTGGATAGCTATGCATGTGTCCTTGTTAAATATTGTAAAGAACCTCAAGGATGTTGAAATTTTAGATTTGTCCTTATTTCCTAAATAGAACATGCTTCTCATAGCAATGCCGTATTTACTGAATGCTTATGGTATACAAGGCATCGCACTAAACTTCGGTGATGCATAATCTGTCTTCTGAGCAATCCAACATGCTGTGGTCACTCATAACTGATTGTGTAAAAGGTCATAGAGACATTAAGAAGCTTCGGCAAAGTAGCCAGTCCTTGAATTCGTAGGCCTGACATAATAGTTTATCACTGAGGATGGGAAGGCTCAAGCAGCTCAGTAGGAAGCAATGTAAGGAAAGAGTGAGGGATTTAGATCTGTGCTTGAATGTGGATTTCAACACTTGCGCATTTGGCAAAGTCCTGAAACCTTTCGTGCCTCTGGTTCCTAATTTGTCAAGTGTGACTGCTGAGAGACGCCCCACGAGGCCAGTGCAAGATAACATGTGTAAAGAACCTGTGATGTGATAAGCTCCAGCGAAGTGTTCTCCAGCACCTCCTTCTGGAGCAGCCAGTGTGGATCACAGTCTGTCTACAGCTGTTACAGGAAGTCAGCCCCGGGCTCACTTCTGTATCTGGTGGACATTTAACAGGACATCAGGACCTGGCCTGTCCTCCATGCTGAGATCTGTTGGCCTTGGCATGGATCCTTAAGAGTCGATAGCCTCTCTCTATGTGGTACCCACAAAAGGCAAACCCAATGGCATAAGGGCCCAGTCCTGGCCACAAAAATAATCTATAATCACCGAATTTCAACATCACGAGCAATCAGTTAAGAGACTCCAGCCTAGTAGGGGACTTTGCTGGCATCTGTCAGAGAGGCCACATGCCAGAATGTTCTCGTGGCTCTCACATTAATATGTATTTGTGCGCAGTGTTTTTGATTGCTGTAATCAGACTCGGAATGAATCCAAGAGGATTTACAACTAAGAGACATTAATCCCCCATGCCCTCTCTCTCCCTCTAGGCTCTGTCTGAAGGCTTAATTCAGCTACCTTATCTCTCTAGGTATGTGGAGACCAAAGCCAAGGGGCTGTTTTCCTGCGGGAATTCACACTGATCCGAAGAGAGAGCCTTCATGAGGATTTCCTGTCTGACTTTTTGCACAGTCACAGGACTGAAGACCCGGTACAGTGTCTCTTCTACTTATTCATTGAATCCGTGGCTGGTTCTGACTCATGGTGGTGGTTTCTGGCAAACATGAAGCCAAGCTATAGAATGATAGCTGCCGTGTTCATGAGAAGAGGGGGAGGCAAAACCGTAAGGCAATACACAGACTCTGTGTATCGTATAAGGTGGCTTTCAGCTGTGGCCGGCGTCTGGCGAGTTTGAAACATTTTGCTTGAGTGTTAAACTCTGTTTCAAGCAGCATGTGTAGGATTCACTTTCAAAAATATCTCATGTTTTGCCAGCATCTGAACATGCCATGGTAATAACTTCAAATGAGTAAAGGGAAAGGAGATTATTTTATAGGTTGATGGGAATTCCACCATCCTTCATTCCTGGCATCATTGCAGATACTTTGACTTCAAAGTATTGGTTACATTTATCATAGGAAAGTTTTTCTGCTAGGACTTTTGCTTTGCTTTGTGCTTTGGCTTGTGGTTGGTTGGTTTGCTTTAGAAGGTCTATCAAATGAGTTCTCGAAGGAAAATAAGTATTACCGACTGACAGCATCCAGTCAATGAACCTTTCCTTCTGTCATTCAGACTCTGGTGTGTATGTAATTGGGCCTAGATTGTGAAAACTAGACGATTAGCTTCTGATACCTGACTGTGCCACTGGATGGTAAGAAACCCTCATTCAGAAGACTTGCTGGTTAAAGGCTACTGTCCACACACGCCAGTGACATTATCACCTAAATTCATGATCTCTTCGTAAGAACAGTATCTTGCAATTGTATCTTAATTTTGTTCCATGTGATGTCATACTAAGTCTGAAATGTGAGCTATCTGAAGGGCTGCTATGTGGGCACTCTATGAAAATATCATACTTAAATCTAGCTATATCACTTTATAACATAAAGAGGTTGAATTATGTGAATGAATTATGAGCATAATGGAGTCAGTTATATTGTAGCCCTACTGAAAACAGTAATTGACGTTGTACGGCATTGAAGGTTGTCTGTCACAAACAGCGGTAATATATATTATATTAATTTCTGTCTTAGGAAAACTGCATGCTTCTTGAAGTCTTCACTTAAAGTCAAACATAAGTCGTGGCTAGATATATGTAACCTGAAAGAGAATTGCCTACAAAAACAAGTAATTAAAGCAATGGCTATTTAAGAAAGCAGATAGGAGAAAAAAAAAGAGATCAAGGATTCATGAAGGCCAGAATCAAATTCAGCCTTCTTGTAAGCTGATAAAATTCTAGCAATTTCCTTGGGAGGGTTTTCTCTATCTGAAGACTTGATCTGGCCCCAGAGATATAAAACTTAACTAAAGCATAACTTCATATTCTAAGTAGATATTCCAAGATGAATCACATAATTGCTGTATCTGCTGTAGGGCAAGAATTCAAACAAGCTATGCCACTTAAGTAAAGTAGTTAGGAAAGTGGGTATTCCTTTCGTCCTCCTTGCTATGGAGGAGCTACTTAGGGGAATGAGGGTCAGTAAGCATGCACTCTGGGATAGACATAAAATTCATTGGCAAAGACAGTGAACAAGGGAAGAATAACACAGTCTGTCTGTATGATGCTGTAGGCTTCCTTTCAAGTCTCTTCAGTTGCCCAAAGGTTTCCTAATACATGTTTCACCTCCCCTGCTTTGCTTCCAAAGTACAGGGCTGTGCTGACTCAGGAGTCATGAGTAGTGTCTGGCCAGCACTCTGCAGTGTGGGCTCAGTTGGGTGCAGTTTTGTTGGAGTCCCCTTTAGCACACGTCCCCTTCCTTGATCCTAGAATTTCATCTTGAAAACAAACAAACAAAAATTCCGTAAAAGAATCTGCAGGAAAAGCCAGGCAGTGGTGGCACATACCTTCAATCCCAACACTTCGGAGGCAAAAGCAGGCGAATCTCTATGAATTCAAAGTCATCCTGGTCTGCAGAGTAAGTTCCAGGACAGTCAGAACTATACAGAGAAACACTGTATGAGAAAGCAAACAAACAAAAGAAAGCACATGCAGGAGAAAAGCACACGAAAATCCAAATGCACACCACACATGCTTGTAAGAATGGTTTAATGATTTTCAGTTCTGATGAGGAGATAAAAGAGCATTTGGGGTTATCTGTTATAATGTCATATTAAGCTGAATACAGATTCATCACAAAAAGTGTGAATTCAGGGATATTTGCCAACTGGAAATCCATAGTTGTGGAAGTAACCATACTGCCAGTATGGAGGACACTTAGCAGAAGTAGCGTTAGCTGCCGCCGATGTGAAATATACTGTCACTCTTCTGAGTAAACGACATTGCTAGCTTTTTTTTTTAAAAAAAAAGTATAGTATTTTTTGTTTTGTTTTATTTTGTTTTGTTTTGAGATAGGATTTCTCTGTAGCATTAGAGCTTGTCCTGGAGCCTCTTGTAGAGCAGTCTGGCCTCAAACTCATAGAGATCTGCCTGCCTCTGCCTCCCGAGTGCTGGGATTAAAGGTGTGTGTGACCACCACTACCTGGCTAAGGATAGTAATTTTTATTTAAACTTTTCTTTGCTCACTTATCTTTTCTTTGCTGGAAATTCTAATGCCTTTCTTTCAAATTTTCAAATAATTTTTAAACCATTATTATCTTAATAATAATGGAGAGATGACTCCGCAGTTAAGAGCACTGGCTGCTCTTCCTGAGGGACCATGGGTTCAATATCCAACACCCACGTGATGGCTCACAACCTTTTACCATCCAGACTCAGGGGGTGTAATGCCCTCTTCTGGCTGCCTCGGGTACTGCATGCACAGGGTGCACAGTACAGGCAGGCTTAATACCCTTTGCATTAAGTAAAAATAAAGGGAAAGACAAACAGCCTTATTTACCTTATTAAGGGAACACTTTCACCTAAAAACTGCTTGATTTATTTTAGTCTAAATAGATAAAGTTTAATTAGACCTCCAGAGAACAGTCTCTACTTTTCCCAACTACAGACAGCCATCTGGCAAGGATCTTAACATTGTGCTAGAGAAGCGTTCTGGGTTGCCTTCTTCTGTTTCCAGCTAGCTTCCTCTATGAGGGCCGATTCTATTCTCTGTGCTTTGGAAGAACGGTCTAAGCAACTGCTTGTCTCAAGACACAGCAGGCAACTTGTAATTGTAGCCTGCACCGCCCGTTTGTGATTTGCATCGTTGGTGGAGAAGAAACTGTTTGTCAAAAGCTGTTGCTCATTATGGGAGCAGCAGCGATGCAGGTCACGTGCTGGCACATTGGTTTTGGTTGCCAGCCGGGTACAGCATCAGGATAATAATTAACATGGAATTCATTACAGAATGGGATTTTCTTCGGTATGTAATTAGTGCAGACCTCATTTGCTTGAGGCTTTGTGGTTCCCTACGTGGTTATTTAAGGCAGTGTTGTGTGTCGGGAGAAAGAAAAAGTATTTAAATATTTACCAGTTGAGGGTAGAATGCTCCTTTGGATGACTGGTAACATAGAGATGCCTTTTGTGGAAGAGGGATGAGCTTTGGGTGTACGTGTTCAGAAATTTCTGTATTTGTATATTTATGTAAATAATGTATATCCTTTTCCTGGGTACAGAGGGATAGAGGACAGCAGGTCCCCAATTCACTGATTCTCAACTGAAAGGAAAAATGTAGTTTAATAGAAAATGGTCTAAAGTAAGTTATTTTTTTTACCTCCCTTGGTAGATACAGAGCAGAGAATTAGTGAGGGTCAGGGTATTTCTACGACCTGTGAAATCAGTTCAAGCAATACATACAAACGCAAACAAAATGGAATAAAACGACTTCCATGTGTTCTCGAGGTTTTGAGCAACCTTGCCTCCATCCCTGCCAAAGGGCAAAGGGAAACAATCTAAGTGCTAACACCTGGAGATAACTTAATTTGCTTAATTACACCTTTAACCTGATTCCTATGCTAGAAATGTGGGGGCACAAACACAAGCAGGGTAGCAGTATATCAAGAACAGAAGTGCCTTCGGCCACAGCTAAGGGATTAACTTTGCCCCCAAGTGAAGCTTGAAGCGTTTGTCCCTTCAGTGGACTAACATTCCAAAGCTGATGTGCATAGACTAAAGGCAGTTTACAAGTTCACGGAGCCTTTATTGATCAGTTAGTGAGTTGATTTATCCTTAAAGTGGCCTCTGTATTTTTTAAATAATTGTGCCCCCAAAGAAAGACATGCAGCAAGGAGGCTCACTCTGCTAGAAGTAAAAATCCACTCAAATTCTGTCTTAAATTTTGTGGAAAATACACGGGTATAACTCGAGTTGACTACCAAAATTCCTTCTTTTGTGAGGAAGTAGTGGCGTAGCCACACTGGACTGCTCACTGGGTGGAAAAGGAAAAGTTTATTCCTTTTAGGATAGAGCCCATTTAGGGTAATGGGGCAGAGGGTTTTCAGGCCAGAAGAGCTGGGTGGCTTTGATATGCAGTTACGGGTATGGGTTAGCATCAACTGAAGAAGGCTGATAATTAGCATGGGGCTTTGACATGTGTTCCAGGTGTGTGCTAATAGGGAGCTAGGTGCCCCATTTGCCACAGGTGCCTGGAGGGAAGAATAAGAATTGGTAGCTCTTTTTTGGCAGACAGGTTTCTCAGAAATGCTGAGTGTAAGTTTTTATATTGCATTCTCTCCCCCACACCCTCTCCCTCTCCCTCCCCCTACTACCACCTCCCCCCCACCACCACCAAGCCATCTTTCTGTTTACTGAGTGAGAATTCAGCCTGAGCTGAAACCAGATTGTCTGTCCTTTGGAGACATAGTAGCATTGCCTTTGGTGGTGGTGGTGGGGGGCACACCTAACAATTACATGTGTTCGCTATCTGGAACAAATATTTCCAGCCTGAAGAACTGAACACAGAAAGAGGAGCAGAGGTTTCACTTCACAGGCAGAATGAAAGTCCACCACAGCTCCCTCGCAAACCATAGCAACCCCTGAGCAAGCAGGAGCCACATTCTGCCTCGAGACTTTCTGTTAGGGATCCAAGAGGAGGAGGAGCTGACTGTTGATGGGTG